AGCTGGCTCTTTGAAAGGATCAACAAAATCGACAAACCATTGTCCAAACTGACAACAGAGAGACAGGAGGAGAAGCAAATAACCCAAATAAGAAATGAAATGGACATTACAAGAGACCCAACTAAATAAAATAAAGAAGATCCTAACAAAGTACTATGAAAAACTGTACTCCAACAAATTTGAAAACCTAGAGGAAACAGACAAATTTCTAGAAACACACAACACACCTGAACTAACACAAACTGAGGTAGAAAATCTGAGCAGACCCATAACAAGAGAAGAGATTGAAAAGGTGATAAAACAAAAAACTCCCAACAAAAAAAATCCCTGGCCCAGATGGCTTCACTGGAGAATTCTACCAAACATTCACAGAAGAGCTTGCACCAGTACTACTCAAGCTATTTCAGAACACAGAAAAGGAAGGGATACTTGAAGCCAGCATAACCCTGATACTAAAACCAGACAAAGACACCACAAAAGAGAAAATAACAGACCAATCTTTCATGAATATAGATGCAAAAATTCTCAACACAATTCTAGCCAATAGAATTCAGCATCATATCAAGAAAATTATACACCATGACCAAGTGGGATTCATACCAGGTATGCAAGGATGGTTCAACAACAAAAAATCAATCAATGTAATTCACCACATAAATAAAACAAAAGAAAAGACGCACATGATCATGTCAATCAGTACAGAAAAGCCATCTGATAAGGACCAACACCCATTCCTGATAAAAGTTCTCAAAAAGATTGGAATAGAAGGGAAATTCCTCAGCATAATAAAGGGCATCTATACAAAACCAACAGCCAACATCATCTTCAATGAATAGAGACTGAAAACATTCCCCTGAGAATGGGAACAAGACAAGGGTGCCCTTTATCACCACTCCTATTTAGCATTGTGCCGGAAATCCTAACTAGAGCAATAAGACAAGAAAAAGAAATAAAGGGCATCCAAATTGGTAAAGAAGAAGTAAAACTATCCCTATTCGCAGATGATATGATACTGTACAGAGAACCCTAAAGACTCCACAAGAAAACTTGAACTAATAGATTCAGCAGAGTAGCAGGATACAAGATAAACCTACAAAATCAGTTGGATTCCTATACACCAATAAAGAGAACTATGAAAAGGAAATCAGGAAAGCAATACCATTTGTAATAGTCCCTATAAAAAATAAAATACGTAGGAATAAATCTAACCAACAACATAAAAGACCTATATAAAGAAAATTACAAAACACTACTGAAAGAAACCAAAAGAGACCTACATAAATGGAAAAACATACTATGCTCATGAACAAGGAGACTAACATTGTGAAAATGTCAATTCTACCCAAAGCAATGTACAAATACAATGCAATCCCAATCCAAATACCAACAACATTCTTCAATGAGACAGAAAAACTAATCATCAACTTTATATGGAAAGGAAAGAAGCCCCAGAAAGTAAGGCATTATTGAAAAAGAAGAACAAATTAGGAGGCCTCGTACTACCTGATCTCAGAATGTACTATAAAACTATGGTAGTCAAAACAAGTCTGGTACTCGTACAATGACAGACACATCGAACAGTGGAACAGAATTGAGAATCCAGATGTAAATCCATCTAAGGCCACCTGATCTTTGACAAAGGCCCAAAGTCCATTAAATGGGGAAAAGACGGTCTTTTAAACAAATGGTGCTGGCAAAACTGGATATCCATCTGTAAAAAAAATGAAACAGGACCCATACCTCACACCATACACAAAAACTAATTCAAAATGGATCAAAGACCTAAATATAACACCACAACTATAAAGATAATGGAAGAAAAAACAAGGTCAAAACTAGGGGGCCTTATTAGTGGCATAAACAGGATAAAAACCATTATTAACAATATATAAACACCAGAAAAGTTAGATAAATGGGATCTTCTAAAAATTAAACATCATCAAAAGACTTCACCAAAAGAGTAAAAAGAGAACCTACAGACTGGGAAAAAATTGTGGCTAAGACATATCCAACAAGGGTCTAATCTCTAAAATCTCCAAGATACTGCAACACCTCAACGACAAAGACAAATAATCCAATTAAAAAACAGCCAAAGGAAATGAACAGACACTTCACCAAAGAAGACCTATAAGCAGCTAACAGACACACAAGGAAATGCTCGCGATCACTAGCCATTAGAGAAATGCAAATAAAAACTACAATGAGATACCATCTCATCCCAACATTACTGGCATGAATCAAAAAACCAGAAAACAACAAATGTTAGAGAGGTTGTGGGGAGACAGGAACTCTTAATGCATTGCTGGTGGGAATGCAAAATGGTATAACCATTTTGGAAAATGATATGGCACTTCCTTAAAAAGCTAGAAACAGAAATACCATATGATCCAGCAATTCCACTCCTAGGAATATAACCTAGAGAAATAAGATCTGTCACATGAATAGACATACATACACCCGTATTCACTGCAGCAGTATTCACAACAGCAAAAAGATGAAAACAACATAAGTCCCCATCAACAGATGAATGGATAAACTATGGCACATACACAATGGAATATTATGCAATGATACAGAACAATGATGAATCTGCGAACCATCTCACAACATGGATGAATCTGGAGGGCATTATGCTGTGTGAAATAAGTCAACCACAAAATGACAAATACTGTATGAGAGCACTAGTATACAAACACATGAAAATGTTTCCACACAGAAAGAAACAATCTTTGATGGTCACGAGAGGGGACAGGTGGGGAGGGAAAAACACTAACTACATAGTAGATGGAGCTCTGGTGGCACAGTGGTTAAGAGCTTGGCTGCTAACCAAAATGTCAGCAGTTTGAACCCACCAGCTGCTCCCTGGAAACTCTATGGGGCAGTTTACTCTATAGGGTCACTATGAGTTGGAACTGACCTGACGACACACAACAACAACAAAACAGTACACAATACTGGGGAAGTCAGTGCATCTTGACTAGTGCCAGGTCGTAGAAGCTTCACAGACAAACCTAAATGCCCTGAGAGACTGAGGTACTAGGCTGAGGGCTGGGGATGATGGTCTCGGGGGACATCTAGCTCAAATGGCATAACATAGTCTATAAACAAATTGTTCTACATCCGACTGTGTTGAGTAGCTGGCTAGCGGCCATCTAAGATATATCTACTGGTCCCATTCTGGCTGGAACAAAGAAGAATGAAGAATACCAAAGACATAAGGGAAAGATTAGTCCAAAGGACTAATGGACCATAACTAGCATAACCTCTACCAGACTAAGCCCAGAACAACTAGATGGTGCCTGGTTACCACCACTGACTGCTCTGGCAGGGATCACAATAGAGGGTTCCAGACAGAACAAAATTCAAATTTACAAAAAATAAAAATACCAGGCTTGCTGGTCTGAGAGAGAGTGGAGAAACCCCGAGAGATGGCCCCCGAACACCTATTTAACTCAGTACTGAAGTCACTCTTGAGGTTCACCCTTCAGCCAAAGATTAGACAGGTCTATAGGGCCAACAATAATACAAGAGAGGAACATGCTTCGTAGTTCAATTCATGCATAGCAGCCCAAAAGCAAAGACGAGAAGGCAGGAAGCAAAAGGAAAACTGGACAAACGGAAACAGGGAACCTGGGGCAGAGAACGGGAGGGTGTTGATACATTGCGGGGTTGGCAATCAATGTCACAAAACGATTTGTGTATTAACTGTTTAATGAGAAACTAATTTGCTCTGTAAACGTTCACCTAAAGCACAATAAGAAAGACAGAAAGCAACTTGGCAATACATATCACGAGTAAAAAAACTAACCTTTTAACCTAATTCTTCTTCTGGTTACCTGTCTCAAGGTAATATTCACGAATACAGAAAGAAAGGTATATATATGAAGATATTTATTATAGCATTATTTAGGAAAGTAAAAAAGCTGGAAACAATGTGTGTCTAATCACAGAGTAATGGTTAAATTATCATATCAACTTTATGGAATATTATGCAGCCATTAAGATGATAATTTTAAAGAGTATTTAATAAAACATGACAACATACCTATGATATGGTAAGTGAAAAAAAGCAAAGTACAATGGGTACATGTCATATAATTGCAATTATATATAAAGTGCACAGCAAAAAGATTACAAGTAAATACAAAAGGGGCTGGTTATGAAACCTGAACAATTAAATGTAGGAAATATGATTTGTTACTTGAAACAATGAGGACATCAAAATTGTTATGTGCAGTATAACTTAAAATTAAACAGAAAAAAGGTGTATCTAGAAGGGAAAAAACTAGAAGAAAATCTATCACATATTAAAAAGACTAAACACTATACATCTGATAAAGTTCATCATTTCTATAAGCATTTAGAGGAAGGAGCATCAAAACATACATACACGCAGAGAAAAATAGCCAGTGGTGAAAGAGATACTGAAGACATGAAACACAGGAAACAAAGGATGGAACAAGATAGAGGACCTACGGAAAGGGAGAAGATTGAGATGGTCAAAGTTTCAATCTTAAAAGGAAGGAAGGAAAAGGAGCTTCCTTAATCTCATAACAAGAGGGAAGAAAAAAGGGTGGATGAAAAGATTAAAATTTTGATATGCTGAAGGTATAGGCCCAAAGGCACATACACTATGATTTTTAGCCATATGAAACTGTGTGCAAAAAAACATAACTATAAATATGGATGAAGTATGGCCATGCCTGTTCTACAGAGCATTTGGTTTATTAAAAGTCAATGTGAAAGATTTTTATGAATATAAAAACATAAGTACTATATAATATCTAATGGCTACCTGAAGAAAAATAGAAAGTGGAATGTATGTACTGGGGTTGATCTTAAGAAGTTCTAACAGAAAAATTCTAAGGGGATTCTATTAAATATTTGTTAAATAAGTATTTTCTGCTGTAATACTGTACATGTCTATATTCAGTCATTTAATGAAATAAGTGTCTTGTTTTATCCAGAAACACAATAAAAATTTAAGAAGAAATACTCACCAAAGAAAGGCACGCATGGTGGATTAATAGACCTGAGTTTTGCCAAATATTTCTTATAGTGATCTTCACTCAATTCATGAGCTTCTTCTAAAATTTTCTTTTGGCGACTTGGTATTTGCTACCAACAAAAAAAGGAAGGATAAGTTTAGAAGAGGAATCACAGATTTTGCCCCCAAAATGCTAAGAGCTACCTTTTTAAGTTAGCAGTTTTGAGGCTAAAAGTAAGGCCTAAACACAACAGTTATCAGTTTGATTCTAAGAATGTAACACTACTTCAGAGAAACTATTTTTATATATCCTAGTACAAACAGTGCGTTCAAACATATCAAAGATCATGGAAATGGTGTGGGACTGGGCAACGCAAGGTCTCCTAAGTCAGAAATGACTGGATGGCAACTAAAAACAACAGTACAAACTTAGCATGTGTGTGCCATTCTTTGCACAATGATGTAAGCATTTAATTATACATTTTATTACAAATTAAGTGCTGAAAAAGCTTTTTCTTCTTCTAACTTAGACTATTGTTGTTGTGTGCCATTGAGTCAATTCTGACTCACAGTGACCCTATATGACAGAGTAGAACTGCCCTATAGAGTATTCTAAGTTGTAATCTTTATGGGAACAGATTGCCAGGTCTTTTCTTCTGCGGAGTGGGTTCAAACTGCCGATCTTTTGCTTAGCAGCAGAGCACTTAACCATTGAGCCACCAGGGCTCCTTACCTGGGCCAGCTGTGAATGTATTTTAAATACAGTGCTCTAATTTTTAAAGAGCAACCAATCTGTCACAAAATTAAGGTAATTTCATCTTTTATTTTAACTTGAAAAGGCAATTAGATGAGACATTTAAAAATTAATGAATCTGAGAGTTGGAGACAACATGGCGCTATAGACAGAAGCACCATGCCGTCCCTCCACAGCAAAGACCCAAAAAACTAAGCAAAACAGAGACAAACATCAACCCTAGAACCCTGAGTGTCAAATGAAGAGATAAAGAACTCAACCAAGCACCGAATGGAATAAGAAACTGACAGAGAACAGAGAATAAAGAGAGTTACGCGCAGAGGTCCTCTATCAGCTAACACAGCACAGATCCACCATCTTGGACTCGTCAGAGATCAGCAGACAGGGAGTACGGGAAAGCAGATTCATGGAGCTCCCAGCAGGAGACAGAGCACCTGGTAACCGGGGAGACACACTTTCCCACTCCCCTCTCTGCTTCCCCCTGCTTGCCCTTTGCTGCTTCCCAGGTGGCCAATTCGCGACCTCCCGGCTGGCTAATCCGCAGCTTCCTGGTGGGCCCATTCACAGCTTTCCGGTGGGCTGATTCGCTGCTTCCCAGCAGGCCGAGACCGTGGCACAGGAGGCGCTGGTTTGGTGCCGTGCTGATCCGCCCTGACCACGATGGCCGGCTTCTTCACTGCTATTTCTTTGTTGCTGGTACTGCTTTTTTTTCGCCTCTTTTGGTTTCTTCCCCACCTCTCAACTCCTCCTCCTTTCTCTCAAACACATGACTCTGTGCCATCTTTGCTTCTTCTGGACAGGCTGTGAAGCACTGTTCAGTTGGGGAACTGCTTCCCTGGTCCACGCTGCCACGCTGGTGGGTTCCCTGAAGGCTTTTTTTTTTTTTTTTTTTTGGTATGTCTTCTTTCGATTTTCCTTCTCATTTTTCATTTCTAGGTTTCTTGTCTCTTTCTACTTACCTTCTTTTCCTGTCTCCTGAATACCTGGCACTGTGTTTCATCTCCCCTCCTAGCCCAGCTCTACTGCACAGCTTGGGAGCTGCTTTCCTGAGCTGCAAAACTGCACCAGTGGGATCTCTGGGGTCATTTTTTTTTTTTTTTTAATTGATTTATTTTCTTTTTATTTTTTCCTTTTTTTTTTTAACTTCATTTCTTGGTTTCTCATCTCTCCACTCAGACGGCAGACTCCCTCAGCACTATTTTTTTTGGCTCCTGTTTGTCTCCTCTCTGTCTCCTTTCCCAAACCCGACCTAGCTCCACACATCACAAACTCTCCCTCCTCCTCCCTCCTGCCGATCTGCACTGTATGCTGACCACTGCACTCCCAAGCATCACAGGCATCGCTTACTGGAACCTGCCCTGCACTGACCCCTGGCTCACATTGTTGGCCCCGGTATGTGCCACAAACAACTGATCCCAGCCCCTCCCCTTCAGCTGGACCTGCCCTGCTGCACCCTAGCTGTGCAACTCGTCCTGCCCATTGGACAAGGAGGTGAAAAATATTGTGTCCACAGAGGAGCTAACAACAAAGAACGCACAGCCTGCCTGCTCAGACATAACCAACTAAAACAAAAAAGTGGGAAGAAACAAACCTACAATCAATAAACGAAGAAAATAACCCCTGAATGTCCTAAAATCAGCAGACAACATTAAAACATAAAAAACAAGATAGGATGGTTCCAGTAGGTGTGCAAAAGAAAACGCCAGATGACTTTCCAGTAAAAGAAAAGGCACTAGAATTACCTCATAAAGAATTCAAATGTCTGATATTAAGAGTCATCCAAGAATTGAAACAAAAAGCAGACAAAAATGAGAAAAAAAATACACAAATTCATGGAAAAAGCAGGTAATTTCATGGAAAATACAGACCAAAAAAAAAAAATGGAAGAATTCAGGAAAATAATACAAGAACAAAATGCCAAAATAAATTCAAAACTAGAAATCATACAAAAACAACAATTAGAAATCCAAAAGAATAAACAACAAGATTTCAGAAATGGACAGTGTCACAGATGGGCCAAGGAGCAGGTTTGAAACAATGGAAGAAAGGATCAGCAAAACTGAAGACAAATACTCGGATACAACTTTGAGGAAAAATCAGAAAAAAGAACGAAGAAAAATGAAGAAACTCTGAGAATTATGTGGGATACAATCAAAAGCAAAAACCTGCGAGTGATTGGAGTTCCAGAACACGGGGAGAAAATGGAAAACACAGAGAGAATCACTGAAGAATTGCTGACAGAAAACTTCCCTAATATCATGAAAGATTGAAAACTACCATCCAAGAAGCTCAACGAACCCAATATAGGATACAGCCCAAACGAAAATCATCAAGGCACATCATAATCACAAAGAAAGATTCCTGAAAGCAGCTTGAGAAAAATGAAAAGTCACATACAGAGGGGGAAACAATAAGACTAAGGTCTGATTACTTGGCAGAAACCATGCAGGCAAGAAGGCAACAGGATGACATATATAAAACCTTGAAAGAAAAAAATTGCCAACCAAGAATAATATATCCTGCAAAACTATCATTCAAATATGATAGTGAAATTAGGACATTTCCAGATAAATAGAAATTAAGGGAATATGTAAAAACCAAACCAAACTTATAAGAATTATTAAAGGGAGTCTTTCGGTTTGAGAACAACCATCAGACGACAGCCTGAATCTAGGACACAAGATCACACCAGCCAGATACCAACCTAGGAAATGAACTCTCAAGGACTATTCAAAACCAAAAGACTAACAACAGAGAACCAGAAAAGTTAATCTGCAAATGACAACAACGTCAGAACAATAAAAGAGGGAATAAACGGTGTAGGTATAGAACTTTCTAATGGAGAGGAAGGCAAGACGATACCAAGTAATAACAGACTGGTTCAAACCTAGAAAGATAAGGGTAAATTCCAAGATAACAATAAAGAAAGTTAACAAACCTACTCATCAAAATAAAGAAGAAAAATATAAAGTCTCAGTAAAAACAAAATCTGCGAAAACAGAAGAAATGAAAAAAAAAAATCCACAAATGAAAGGAATTCAGCGTAGGAGTAAGCGGAACAAAGAAATCGTCAGCACCACAAAAAAAAGCACTACAAAATGACAGCAATAAACTCACACCTGTCAATAATTACACTGAATGTAAATGGCCGAAATGCACCCATAAAGAGAGTGACAGAATGGATTAAAAAAACAGGATCCATCAATACACTGTCTACAAGAGACACACCTTAGAAACAAAGACATAAATTTATTAAAAATCAAAGGATGGAAAAAAATATATCAAGCAAACAGCTACCAAAAAAGAGCAGGAGTGGCAATACTAATCTCAGATAAAACAGACTTTAAAACCAAATCCACTATAAAAGACAAAGAAGGCACTATATCATGATTAAAGGGACGATCCATCATGAAGACATAACCATAATAAACACCTATGCACCCGACAGGGCTCCAAAATACACAAACTTTAACAGCACTGAAAAGAGAAACTGACAGTTCCACTATAATAGTAGGAGACTTCAACACACCACTCTTGGTAAAGGACAGAGCATCTAGAAAAAAACAAAGATACAGAAGATCTCAAGGCCACAATCAGCCAACTTGACTCATAGACATATATAGAACACTGAACCCAACAGCTGCAAAGTACACATTCTTCTCCAACTCACATGGAACATTCTCCAGAAGGGATCACATCTTAGGCCACAAAGCAACCCCCAACAAAATCCAAAACACTGAGATAATACAAAGTGTCTTCTCTGATCACAACACCATCAAAGTAGAAATTAAAAACAAGAAAAGCAAGGAAAAAAAAATCAATTACATGGAAACTAAACAACACCCTGCTTAGAAACCACTGAGAAATAGAAGAAATCGAAGACGGAATAAAAAATTCCTAGAATCAAATGAGAATGAAAACACATCATACCAAAACCAGTGGGACATAGCGAAGTCAGTGATCAGAGGTCAATTTATAGAAACAGACGCACACATCAAAAAAGAAGGAAGGGATAAAATCAAAACATCAGCTACACAACTCAAAGAAATAGAAAGAGAGCAGCAAAAGAAGCCTATAGCCACAAGAAGAAAGGAAGTAATAAAGATTAGAGCAGAAATATATAAAATAGAGAATAGAAAAACAATAGACAGAATCAACAAAACCCAAAGTTGGTTCTTTGAAAGGATCAGCAAAATCAACAAACCACTAGCCAAACTGACAAAAGAAAACAGGAGAGGACGCAAATAACCCAAATAAGAAATGAAATGGGGGACACATTACAACAGACCCAACTGGAATAAAAAGGATCATAACAGAGTATTATGAAAAACTATATTCCAACAAATTTGAAAACCTAGTGAAAAAGGGACAAGTTTCTAGGAACATACTACCTACCCAAACTATCACAAATTGATGTTGAAAATCTGAACAGACTCCTAACAAGAGAAGAGACTGAAAAGGTAATTTAAAAACTCCCAACAAAAAAACACCCTGGCCCAGATGGCTTCAGTAGAGAATTCTACCAAACATTCAGAGAAGAACTCACACCAGTACTACTCAAACTATTTCAGAACATAGAAAAGGAAGGGATACTTCTGAATTCATTCTATGAAGCCCGCATAACCCTGATAACAAAACCAGGCAAAGACACCACAAAAAAAATTACAGACCAATATCTCTCATAAATATGGATGCAAAAATTCTCAACAAAATTCTAGCCAATTGAATTCAGTATCATATTAAAAAAAAAAAAAAAATACACCATGACCAAGTAGGATTCATACCAGGTAAGGAAGGATGGTTCAATGTAATCCACCACATAAATAAAAGAATCATATGTTCATCTCAACTGATGCAGAAAAGGCATTTGAGAAAGTCCAACACCCATTCCTGATAAAAACTCTCAATAAAATAGGTATAGAAGGGAAATTCCTCAACATAATAAAGGGCATCTATACAAAACCAACGGCCAACATCATTCTTAATGGAGAGAGGCTGAAAACTTTCCCCTTGAGAATAGGAATAAGGCAAGGATGTCCTTTATCACCACTCCTATTTAACATTGTGCTGGAAGTAGTAGCTAGAGCAATAAGGCAAGAAAAAGAAATAAAGGGCATCCAAATTGGTAATGAAGAAGTAAAACTGTCCCTATCTGCAGATGATATGATACTATATATAGAAAACCCAATTCAGCAGGGCAGCAGGATACAAGATATACATACAAAAATCAGGTAGACTCCCATACACCAATAAAGAGAACGACAAAAAGGAAATCACGAAAACAATACCATTTATAATAGCCCCTAAAAAAATAAAATACTTAGGAATAAATCTAATCAGGGATGTAAAAGACCTATACAAAGAAAACTACAAAACACTACTGCAAGAAACCAAAAGAGATCTACATAAATGGAAAAACATACCATGCTCATGGACAGGTAGACTCAACACTGTGAAAATGACAATCTTCCCAAAGCAATCTACAAATAAAATGCAATCCCAATCCAAATACCAACAACATTCTTTAAAGGGATGGAAAAAACAATCATTAACTTTACATGGAAAGGGAAGAGGCCCCGGATAAGTAAAACATTACTGAAGAAGAATAAAGT